ATGAAGCTGTCAGATGACCAGCCATCAGCTAACGGAGGGAAGTGCAGCCCCCAGCCCTGGGCTGTGAGTGAGTGTGAGCACCCACAGTGCTATCTCTTGGCCACACTACCTGCTGGGAAGGTAAAGTCAAGGCCAGCAGGGAGCTCACATCTCTCAGCCTTTTTGCTTGAGGGAGAAGCAGCCGGTGGCCACTGATTACTCCTCTATCATTTAGTTCTGGAAATGGGCTTGGAGAGGTCAGGTAACTTGCCTAGGGCCACAAAGCTAACCAGCATAGCCACCAGGCCTAGAACCCAGTCAGCCTGTAGATCTCAGGGTGGGTCCTGCCTGACCTGACAAGACGCTCTACTCCCAAGCCCTCCCCCTTCTTATGCCTCTATACTCCTATTAACGGGTGTCACCGATTTCTGGGTCTAAGCCCCAGCACTGACAACAAGGCAAGGTGACCTTCCACTTCCCCATCTGTAAAGTGGGGGCCGTATTCGCCCAGAAGACCAGGGAGCTGGTGAGGTATGGTTCCAGGTGCGGTATACAGATGGGCCCTCTGAGCCAATATGCACCCTTCTTCCCTGCACAGAAGGAGAAGATCCGGGAGAAGTTTGTGGAAGCCCTGAAGACAGAGTTTGCTGGCAAGGGGCTAAGGTTCTCGCGAGGTATGTCTTTCCTGCGGTGGGCTCAGGCACAGCAACAGACACTATTTACCTATCCAATTTTGCCCTTAGGCAAAATTCACTTCCTTCAATGACCACCTGATGTCCAGTGGTCCCCACCCTTCCCGCACCTAGTTCAACTGGCTTGAATATCAGTCAAGGGCTCTGCAGATCTTTCCAAAGCTGATTCTATTCAACCTCTGGCTCTGGCTGCTCCCCTGAGATGCCTGGGGCATATGGTAATCCCAGCTGCCATCTCGGCTTGTTCCCCAGTAGCCAGAGGGGAGAAAAGGTGCCACGGTCACTTAGAATCTATAGTTGTGTCACTCTGTTGCTCAGAGCTGTCACCTTGGGTCTCACTGGCCATGCTGGCTGAGTGAGCGCATCTTTGCTCCTGCCTGTTGCCTGCCTGGATGAGACCCTGCAGATCTTGAGTCTGCCCTTGATGGCTCTCAGCGTTGTTGAATGAACTAAGTGCTTTAGAGCCAGGCATGCTGCCACAGGTCTGAAACCCCAGCACTTGAGAGGTAGAACAGGAAGATGGGGAATTCAAGGCCATCCTTGGCTACATAGTACAAAGCCAAACTGGGTACATGAGACTGTCTCAAAAATAAAGCATGTTTTGCCCAAGTTAGCCTTGTGAGCTTCCCTGACAAGCTGCCAGCCCTGTCTGTCCCTCCCAGGATTTTGTCGTAACTCCCCACATCCACAGGAGGCATGATAAGCTTCGATGTCTTCCCGGAAGGCTGGGATAAGCGCTACTGCCTCGACAGTCTCGATGAGGACAGCTTCGACATCATCCACTTCTTTGGCAATGAGACCAGTCCTGTAAGTGTGACCCTACCCAGTTCCCCTCAACCCAAAGCACCTGAGCTCAAGGCCAGGACACAGGGCAATAGAACAAAGACCTCTCAGAGCATCCCAGAAGACTCTCACTGTTCCTACTCTGCAGTTCAGAAGACTAAGACCCAAGAAGGACTAGATGCTTGTTCCAAGTCAGGGCAGGTCTGAGAAGCCAGGAGAGTGGGATTCCTGGCAGGTCTGAGGAGGGGCAAGTCTGCAGGAGCCAGTTTGGGAAGGGTAGCTCTTGGGCCTCAATCCTGGGCACCTCCTGTCCTGTAGGCATCACCTAAGATCATCTCTTCTCTGTCTGTCCTTCCTCTGAATGCAGGGTGGGAATGACTTTGAGATCTATGCGGACCCCCGGACTGTCGGCCATAGTGTGGTCTCCCCTCAGGATACTGTACAACGATGCCGAGAACTTTTTTTCCCAGAGACAGCCCATGAGGCATGACGGTGACCACAGCTAAGCATTGGGACCTTCAAAGAGCTCTGGCTAGGCCTGAAGAGAGAACCATGGAGTGCCAAGGTTCCCATTCCTCTGGACCAGCATGTAGCATCATGTGGGGCACCACGAGGCCCACTCACACAGGACCAGGGTCTGTGGCAACTGTCCCAAGCCAGGTGGCTCCCCATAAATAAGACTTATTCCTGCACTCCACTGATGGCCCCTGGCTTCTGATGCTGCTGGTTTCTGTAACAGAATAGGTTTCACCCAGCTGGGAGATAGTGGTGCATGCCTTTAATCCCAGTACTAGGGAGGCAGAGACGGGTGGATCTGAGTTTGAGGCCAGCCTGGTCTACAAAGCTACACAGAGAAACCCTGTCCTGAAAAACAAACAAACAAAAAAAATAGGTTTCACCCCAGAGGGAGGCATGTGAGTTATGCTATGGACCGTGCTGGCCACAACTGACAAGGGAGGAGTGACAGGGAAGGGGCACCTTCCTGTCACAGATTAAAGGACTGTCACAGATTAAAGTTCCCAAGACAAGGTGTTAGATGTGTCTGAAGCTATGATGGTTCCTGTCACATGCTCTTCGGTCAGGGACAGGGGCTTGCCCCAGGAGGTCTTTGACCCATTGAAGCCTGAACATGACCAACATGCGTGTCCTTCCTCAGCCCCTTACCCAAGGATTCTCACAGACAGGCCACTCAGAGGCAGGGTGGGTCACAGTTGAGTTTATTGCCAGTGTTAGGAGGGGATGGGTAATCCGTGGCTGGGGACTCGATACTGCAGGGCCTGAGAGGAGAGAGGAGGAGGCCTGATGCCCCCTGCTACTCAGGCAGCTTCAAAATGATGCCTGAAGAGGGCCTGCTCACAGGAGGGAGGCCTGGGTGGCCCTGGGGTCCACCTGTACCAACAAGTTCCCTGTCAAGGATCTGCCTGTCTGTCACCCAGTGCTGAGTGATAGGCATACTGGGGACTTGATCTCAGGTCCTCAAGCGTATAGGACAGTTCTTCAAGGACAGGCCTTGCTGGAGAAGCCTAGTTCACAGTGGGGTGTCAGATGGGTAAGTCTTTCAGTGTGAGGGACTAGCCAACACTTTTTAGCAGTTTTAGGCTGCTGGCCTCTGTGCAAAGGGTTCTAGGACAAAGTGGGATACAAACACCCCAAATGATTCTACCCTGTGGTTCTGGAACACCTACAAGGCCACCTAGACAATCACCCCTTCATCCTGGGCATCTGGGCCCACATTTTATTTGCAGATTGGGTCTCATAAGGGTCACTGTTGGCGGCAGGCCCTTCTTGAGTCTGTGATCCCACTTATCCTGTTAGGTAATGGGCTTTCTAGAAGGGATACATCTTAGCCCCAAAGGGACTCCAGGTAAGAGGGACAGTCACACTTGAGGGATGAACGAGATAAGAGCCACCTCAGCTACTGACCTGTCAGGGATCTATAGGAGCCATTTTAATGCTTTGGGGAAAGGGTCTAATTTTGGCGGGGGAGGGGCAAGGCCAGTGATCTCCCTGGCTGAGGACCATTCTTTTGAGTGCCTGGACCTGGCCTTGCCCGAGGTGACATGTCAGTTCATCGCTGCATCCTCAGCCGCTGTCATGGCCAACACTGGGCAGGGCATCCACAGTTTGTGCATCATGATGGAAGAGATGGTTCTGTCCAAGCTGGAGGAAACCATGTCCCCAACTCACTGTGGGGAGGGAATGAGCTTGGCTCCCCCCGCTCAGGAAGGAACCCAGGTCCCTGGGGTTCAAAAGAGCCTCTGCCGGCTGAGGAGAGAGGACCGGTCTACACAACAGGAGCACCTACGTTCTCTGTTCTCTCCAGGGCACCGAAAGGATGGGGTCAGAAAGATGAGCCAGGTTATGGCAGGGGCTGGCCATGAACCTCCATGTTTGCTCACTTCCTCCCTAAAGTTTGAGGCCCCTACAAAGCACTCAGAAGACCTGGCTTCTGAGATAAAGAAGACCATAGCAGACACCCAGGTCTAGCACAGGAGACAGGAGCACAAGCAGACAGGGCTAAGTTCTGGACTGAGTGAATCTGAGGGCAGCAGTGAGGAACAGGCTCACAGGAGAAGGGTCTCCCTGGGCTTCTCAAGAACACAACACAGGCCCACAGAGACTTAGTATATAGATAGGTGGGCAAGAGGGCGAGAAGGTCTTGTGTTTCCGTGGCAGGGCTGGAGAAGGAGAGACTGGCCAAGGCAGGGCTGCTGCACTCCATCCAACCCTAGCCAGATCACGCAAGTCATGGGTCACAGGTGGGCAGAAGCACACATTCACGGCCACAAGCACAGACAGACAAACGCGCACACCCAAGGGCTGGTCAGCGCAGTGGGAGCACAGAGCTGGCCGCTGCCTGCCTCTTCGTGGGGACACCCCCCCTCCCCCACCTGTCTAGGATCCCACAACCTGGCCAGACCATGTCTCATGTGGAGTATGGGGGGCCAACTGGGTGAGCACCACCTCTACGGCCTGAAACTTCTGGTTCTTGGGTGGGATGGGACACATCTTGTAGGTCACCTCATCGCCTTCCACGGGGACATACTCCCCCTCGATGCTGGTGGACAGAAGGGGTAGGATCAGCGCAACATCAGACCAGTCCCCAGACAGCGCTGTGGCCCCTAGACCAGGGAGCCTCCCTGAAACTTCCTCCCTCTGTGGAGACTGAGAAGCAGGTCTGGCTCTCAGAACCCTCATGATCCTAGCATGGGACCCCACACCTCAGCAGTGATTACCAGGGTTCCGGGGACTGCCACCTGATCCCTAACTGACCCAACACTTCTCAGAGCAGGGATAGCCAGCAGGAATGCCCACCTCAGCAGCCAGAGGGGGATCAGGTGAGACTGGACACTTGAGCAGGGCCCAGCCAGAAACAGGGAAGTGAAGGGACTCACTCAGAAACATGCACGAAGATGTCCTCAGAGCCATTCTCAGGGGTGATGAAGCCATGGCCTTGTGAGCGTGAGAACTGCTTACAGACACCCTTGAACACGGGGCCAGCCGAAGCTCTAGCTGTCCTGGGGAAAGGGTAGGAGAATTGGAGCTGTGGCCTGGAGCACCTGCCCATGCTTGGTCCCCCAACAATACTGCTATTGGGCGGATAACAAAGATTGGGGCCCAGAGCAGGGCAATGGCCTGCCCAGTGTCTCTCAGAGTAGTAGGACAAGGGCACTTTCTTTTTCCTTGCCAGTATCCCTCTAAATAGCACCCTCCATCCAGATATTTAGGCTTAAATGGCTTCCACTTGGAAGATTTCTGAGTGAAGCTAGGGCTTTAGCCCAGTGGTGGATAGTTTGCCTGCCATGTGTAAGGCTCAGGTTCCATACTCAGAACCAATGAATTAATTTTTAAAAATCTAAAACTAAGAGACACCTCACCATCTCTCATGGCTGCTATAACATCACCAGTCACTAAGTTTCATGTGCTATTTATTAAGTATCTGCTGTGTCCTTGGGTCACACACAGGACAATGAATGCTTGCTATGCAGAGCAGTAATGATAAAAGCCTGCAGCCGCTGGGCATGGTGCTGCACACCTTCAATCCCAGCATTCCAGAGGCAGTGGCAGGCGGATCTCTGAGTTTGAGACCAGCCTGGTCTACAAGAGCTAGTTCCAGGACAACCTCCAAAGCCACAGAAAAACCCTGTCTTGAGAACTGCCCCCCCCCCCAAAAAAAAGCCTGCAGCCAGGCACAGAAGTGCATGCTTGCACCAGCATTCATAAATCTGGCAATCAGCACCACTTCAAAGCCCTGTCTCAAAAAACAGCCATGAGGAGATGGCTCATTGGGTAAAAATGCAGTTGTTGCCAGGACCGGCCACCTGAGTCTGAACCCCAGAACCCACTCCTGATAAGTTGTTTTCACACACACAGAGGCTGTGGTAGGTACACACATGTGCACACACAACCACACACATACTAACAATAATAAATGTAAAACCCTTTGGCTCCCACAAACCCTCCCCATCTGGCAAGTCTCTTTTTTTATTTTTATTTTTTGAGATGGTCTCACTATGTATGTCTGGGCTATGTTTCTCAAGTCTCTTCCTGCTTCACCTGAAGCATCTTCAAACTCAGCTAGGATGTCCTAATTAACCGTACCCCAGGCTAAGTCCTTACCTAGTATTCAAACCCCCTCGGAACTGTAGACATGTCTTATTCATCCCTTAAGTTCCAATGAGAGCTCTGTAACTGTGGAATGAAGGAATGAGTGAAGGGACACTGAAATCACCAGAAGGACAGACAGGCTTGGCCCTGGCCTGGAGAACATGGGACTTAGGAGAAGGGAAGGTACTCACGCTGAGTATGTCCTGGTCCTTTTGGTAGGCAGAGGGCTGGGCAGGTCCCGAGGCGAGATACCACCACCACGTTCCCAGATCCTACTGCCCTCCCTGTGGAAGGGGAAAGTGGGCCAGACAGGGGACTTGGGGGAGTGGAGAGGTGGCACCACTGGAGGTGATGTGGGCTCTGACGTCATGGTGGCGCCAGCGCGAGAGCCTGGTGGGCTCTGTGACACAGGGGCCGGTGAAGGACTCTGCCGTCCTTTTGGGCAGGGCCCAGCCTTGCCCTGCTCAGTGGCTTCACCAGGTATGGACTCCGTCTATAAGAGAAGAGAGAAACAGTGAAATACAGTCGGGAACAGCTCTGGATACTGGACACAAGTTGAGAGGACTGTTGAGGCTAGCAACTCCCAAAGGCACTCACAGCCCCACCCTGCCTCAGTATCCTCACCAGGAAGACAAAATAACCATGTAGCTCTCAGTGTGTGTGAGGCTTTAAGTTGCAACACCAAAATGAAACAAAGGATTGGGGAAGTAGCTTGGCTGGTAGAGTGCTTGCCCAGCCAACACCACATAAAACCAGGCATGGGCCTGGTATGGTGGCCCACGCCTTTAATCCTAGCACTCTGGAGGCAGAGGCAGATGGATCTCTGTGAGTTCAAGGCCAGCCTGGTCTACATAGTAAGTTTCAGGACAGCCAGGGCTATGAAGAGAGACCCTGTCTCAAAAAAACAAAAAAGAAGACACACACACACATACACACGACAGGCACAATAGTGCATCTGTGTAATAATTCTGGCACACACAGGCAGCAGCAGAAGGACCAGAAGTTCAAGATTATTCTGGATTTCATATTAAGTTTGAAACTAGCCTAGTCTATATGGGACCCTGTGTCACAAAACAACAACAGGACCTGCTTTAGAATCCCTAAATTCAGGTGTGTGGTGGTGCACACCTTTAGTCCCAGCACTCAGGAGGCAGAGACAGGAGTATGTCTGGGTTCGAGACCAGCCTGGTCTACAAAGCGAGTTAAGGACAGCCAGAGACACAGAGAAGCTCTGTCTCAGAAAACTAAACAAAAAAGAATCGCTAAGTTCTTCCAGCTTGCAGTTTAATTCTATAACTTAGGGGTCTGGAGGTGGGACATGTGATGCCCAAGATGTGGCATAAATGTTAGTGGTTTCAAATTCACACACAGTTCTGGGTTCAGATTTTAAACCTATAATTTGGTGACCCTCCCAGTAGTGGCCACCTGACTCGAAGTGTGGGCTCTACTGGCTGACTGGCCTCAGACAATACTCTTGACCTTTGATGTCATTTCCTGCTCTGCACTGTGGGTAGTGTTCATTCCTGTTTTGTAGGGAGGTTACCCTGAGGCCCAAACGCCATTCAGTATGCCCCAAAACAGGAGCAGGGAGCCCATGGTGAACTCTTGGGAATGTGTTCTATTTTTCATTAACCCAGTTTCTGCCTCTCAAAATGAGGTTGAAGGGCAGGGGTTGTGGCTCAGTGGGAGGGCGCTTACTTAGCATGCTCAAAACGCTGGGGTCAATCCCCACGCAGCTGGGTGGGGTGGGTTAAGGGGACATCCCAGAGCCCCACAAGAGATTGGCAATTGCCGAGGGAGGTGGCATCTGCTGAGGTTGAGTGATTTAGTTCCTACCTATGAGCATCAGTAGCTACCGACCTCATTGCTCGGGCCAGTGCTACTATTTTAAAAAACATTTCATTGTGCTCCATTATTATATTCTAGGGTCCATTACTTTGAGGACCTTGGGGAAAACATACCTGTATTGAGGAAAAGACTAACTCCTCTCATGTCCCACCTGTTCTCCCTCAAAATCTTAGGTGTCATGGAGCCTAAGAGATGCCACTGTAGCGCCTGAGGAGAGACGGGTGGCCTGCAGGTCTCGGACCTCAGGATTAGGAGACCTCCAGTACTGGAACTTCTAGCTGCTGACACTGGGACTCAGTTCCACGGCCCTCGGTTTTCTCATCTGGGCAATGGGAATGATGGACCCACCCCCTCTCACCGGTCATCCTGAAGTTTGGTTGAGGCCCTTCCTTAGCTATAGCTATAAAGAAAGAGGGGGTGAGGGGTGGCAGGGGAAAGATTGGCTCAAAAGTCAGCGGAAGACCCTAGCTTGTGTTCCCAGCACCCACACGGTGGCTCAAAGCTATCTGTAACTCCAGTTCCAGGGGATCTGATGCCCTCTTCTGGTTTTGACAGGTACTTCATGCACTCTGCAATCGACCAGCCATAGGGTAGAACGTGGGCCCCAAGCAGGCATGAATTACTGCTTCCTGTCACAACACAAATGAACCTTGAGAACACCTCAGAAGAAGCAGTTACAATAGCACACATCATCGGGTGGATTTGCTGTCGGGAGGAGGGTGTGGAGTGACTAATGTTAGGCCATTTCTTTTAGGGCGCTGACTGCTAAAAAAAACCTTTATTCGGTAAGCACTGTGGTGACTGTCGGTGAAACCACTGAGCTTCGTGGGTTTTGTTTTTTTTTTCCCCTGATGCTGGGCATGGTTGCCAACTGGGCAAGCTCTTTATCACTCGGAGCTCCACCCCGATTCCAAACAAATAAACTGCATAATAAAGTTGTTGCCAAAGATAAGGGAGGCACCAAAGTCCCAGGGACACCCAGGGCCTGGGTCCCCTCTTGGTGGGGGAAACTGTAGCAGAGACATCCTCGCTTTCTCGGTGGGCACCAGGGCCACTACAGTTTCCTGAGACCTGGTGGTGTGATGGGCAGTGGCAGCTAGCGATGGGAGGTCAGAGGGGGATGGGATGGGAGGAGCCACCGTGGTTACCAAGGAGATGCAGGGAGGCGGGGCTGCTCCACCAGCCAGGTGATAGTGCCTGGGGCGCGCCGGGAACACGCTGAGCTGAGCGTGAGGAGGGAAGGTCACACTCTACCAGGGTGAGCTCTGGAAGTGACTCAGAGGCGGCAGCAGGGGCCGGGCAGGCTTCAGGAGCAACAAAAAGAGCAGGCCTTCCCAGCACCTCTTCACTCTAGCAAGCGAGGAGGGCGGTCTCTACATCAGGAAGCTTCTCCAGGGCCCGGGCCTCATCGGCCCAGGCAGGGAGCAGAAGGCGAACAGGGCCTCCCTCCTCAGCCGCTCTTCTGAATATGAAAGGAGGTAAATGTAGGATGCCAGGCAGGTGCTGCGCCGGGGGATTTAGTTCCGCACAGATTGGGGGCGCTAACCGGTCCCCTATGCTCCCCTACCCCCCACCCTCAGCCCCCTTAAGAACTGTTCCTCTGCTCCTGGCTGGCTTCCTTGCCCGACAGCTCCTTTTCCTTGGTTTAATTCTTGCAGCATCACTTAAGGCTAGTGTTATTACTCCACTTTACAGACAAGAAAACTGAGGCTCGGGTTAAATCAATCAAAGGCACAATGTCTTAGGCAGAATCTAAACCAGGACTGACTGAATCTGGGGTTTCAAAGTAGTCATGACACAGACATATGTTTATGTGTATGCGTGGGTTTCACATGATGTATGTGCGTGGGTGTGAAGGCCACAGGGTCATGTTGAGTGTCTTCCTCATTTGTTCTCCACTGTATTTTTCAAAACAAAGTGTTGTTCTCTCAGCCCAGAGCTCACCGATAAGGTAGCCTGGCTGGCCAGTGAACTTCAAGGGTCCCCCTGCCTCTACCCTCCAGTGCTGGGTTACAGAAGTACTCTGATGGGCTTGGCTTTTTGCACAGGTGTTGGGGATCAAACTCAGGCTGCCCTGCTTGCCTAGCAGTTACTTTACTCACTGAGTTATTCCCAGGCCCCCTTTTTGCTTTTTTTTATTTGGAGTTGGGGAAGGTTAGTGTCTCACTATACCAGTTGGCCTGGACTGGACTAGAATTTACAATCCTTCTGCCTCAGCCTCCCACGTCCTGGGATTATAGGCCGTCTCCACAAGGCCTGGCTACTATTACTTTTTCTTTTTTAAGATTAATTTTATTGGGCTGGGTTTGGTGGCATACATCTTTAATCCCAGCACTCAGGAGGCAGAGACTGGTTGATCTATGTGAATTTGAGGCCAGCCTGGTCTACAGTTTTCCAGTACAGCCAGGACTACACAGAGAAACCATGTCTTAACCCCTCAAAAAAAAAAAAAAAGATTTATTTTATTGGTCCAGGCAGTGGTGGTACATACCTTTAATCCCAACAACCAGGAATTCAAGGCCAGTGTGATCTACAGAGTGAGTTCCAGGACAGTCAGGGCTACACAGAGAAACCGTGTCTCAACAAAACAACCCCCCCAAATTAATTTACTGTTCTTAATTACATATATTTATGTGTGTGTTTGGCTGTGTTATATATGAGTGCAAATGTCTACAGAATGCAGAAGAGGACACTGGAGTCCTCTAGAGATGGAGTTACAGGCAGTTGCAGCCTTACAACATAGATGCGAGGAAAAGAACTCAGGTCCTCTAAAAGAGCGGTAACCACTCTTAACCACTGAGCCTTCTTCCAGTGTTCCACTCCCTTTCTTTTGAGAAAAGGCTTTATGTAGTCCATGCTGGCCTTGCACTAGGTTTGTAGTCTTTTTTTTTTTTTTTAAGATCTTTATTATTTTGAGGTGGGCTTTGGTGGCGCATGACTTTAATCCCAGCACTTGGGAGGCAGAGGCAAGCAGATCTCTTTGAGTTTGAGGCCAACTTGGTCTACAGAGCTAGTTCCAGGACAGCTAGGGCTGTTACACAGAGAAACTCTGTCTCAAAAACAAAACAAAACAATCTATAAGTAAAATAAATATTTTAAAATTTGTTTATATATTCAATTTGACTGTTCATGTTACTATGCACATATGTGTGCAGTGCTCACAATGGCCAGAAGAGAGCATCAGATTCCCTGGAGTTAGTTACAGGTGATTGTAAGCCACCTGATGTGTGTGCTGGGCACAAGTTCTTTTAATGGATGAGCTATTGCTCCAGCTCCTGAACATGTAGTCATATGGTCAAGGATGAACTTTGGACCCTCTGCCTCACCTCTGAGTACTGGGATTTCAGATGTGAGCAGTGATGCCCTGGTTTGCTATTGCTTTGTCAGGGCTCTACCCTCTCCAAGACCAGAAAGGGGACCTGAATTGGAAAAACCATGAGACACCTAGCGAGCCCAGGGAGAGGAGAAGAAGAAAATAGAGAGCAAGCCTCCAGAATATTGATGCAGGAAAGGACAAGTGGCATCAAGGCTTTCATTGTTTTGATGCCAGTACACTATGCAAAAAGCCTTTTGAGGTTTTTGTTTGTTTGTTGTTTTGTTTTTTTCTTGGGGCACAGGAAGTAACCAAGTCTAGCCTTGAACTCCTAATCCTCCTGCCTCTGCCTGGATCTTGGATTATTATAGATATCATCATCACACCTAGTCTAAGTGGTACTGGAATAACTGGATGAGGTTCAGAACATGACCCAGTATGAACAGGCCGTGCACAGTGGCTCTGACCCACCAGCTGGCTCTCCCTTCCCTTCATGAAAACCAAACTAACAGATCATTTCTGCAGTGGTGAGTCCAGGAGAGGCAAAGCCAAAACATCAGGACTGTTTGGAGATAACCCAAGGTATGATCCAGTGTCATGGGACCATGGCACTCAGAACAAGTGAGTCAGCCCTGCAAATAGGTGAGTAGAGCCATTTGAAACTTGGCTTCAATCCTCAGACCCTCCCTCCTAAAAAGTGGGGTACAAGTGGCTGTGTTGACCATGAGAATCCCTCTTTAACGTGGTACCTCAGTGAAAGCAAGTGGCCCCACCATCAGTACTGTGTGACCTGGGACAAGCAGCTGTCCTCACTCTCTGGGCTTTATCTTTATCCCTAGGCACATGAGCCATTGCTGAACTAGATGACTGATGAAGGCCAGTCTAGCTTTCCTCTGAGGTTAAATACCCACGTGTGCATACCCAAGGAGGCAGTTCCCAACCTGTGTCCTACAAAATCTACGCACGCGCACATTTGCGTGCCCCCCACCACCACACACACACACTAAAACTGAGCAAGAAACACTAGGGCAATATACACAGGAGAGACGGTCTTGGCCATAAAGGTTCCCCGTCTAGTGTGGAATATGAGACTTTCTGTCTAGCCCTCATTTGGCAAGTCTCTCCCATCCTCTATCAATTTAGCCACCGTCAGTCTCTTGTTCCATTTGTGCCTCATAAGAATCCTAAATAGTAATTGCCACCAATGTACCCATTCTTCAGAGGAGTAAACTGAAGCCCAGAGGGGTGAAGAGACTCACTGAAGTCACCCAGCTGGCCCAGTAGCCCTCTTGAACCCTAGAGAGGCGTAGAAGAGGGGTGTGCAGCCAAGGCAAGGTGAGAAAACTCTCAATTCCCTGGACAAAATCTCCCACCTTGGACCTCCCCGGAGAATGTTGTACAGGGCCAAAGAAGAACTGGGGAGCCGGGATTTGGGGTTCTATTTCTGGTGCTGTGCTGACTCAGACCATGACCTTGGGTGAATCATGTACCAACTCTGTGAGGCTTAAAAACAACTCCCCCAATAAAAGTGTTCCAGCCCCAAGTCCTCATTATGGGGGCACCACTAGGGAGGAATGGGTACCTTTGTTTAAAAATAGAAAGGTGGAAGAGCTGATTGAATGTCTTAGGCTTGTCCGTGCTGGGTCCTGGGGAGGGGACAGAACCACCCTGAGACCACCTGCCTGCCCTTCCTCCCCGAAGCTTCTCAGATACTTCTTAAAAGACATCAGTGCCAAAAGCTGCCCTTGCAGCTGGAGGTGACCTAATTAAACCTGGTTCCTTTCCTTCCTTCCACAGCGTGTGTGTGTGTGTGTGTGTGTGGGGGGGGGGGGGGGGGCTGCCCCAGCCAATACTAAAAATTAATTATTTAAATGACCCTTACGAAGCTCTGGGGCTGTTGTTCCTAAGGTTTTGGGCTTCTCTGGCATTAGTGGGGGAAGGGAAATGTAGGATATCTCATAGAGCCAAGTTCATAGACAAGCTCCACCTCTACCTGACTGTGTGAGCTTAGCAAGTCACCTTTCCAGAGAGAGGATCATACTGGCCAAAGTCACACACAGTGGCAGTGGGAATACTCACTGTGGTCTCAAAGTCCTCGGGCATCCCAGGGTGTTAAGTCACCCTGCCCAGCAACGATCATTTGGAGGGGGATGTGTGCAGGCTCCACCCTTGATTTTACTCCCTCACCCTGCTGTGGATCTCCCCCAAGCTGCTTGCTCACAGGGCTCTGGGTCCTGGGCACCAAGCTTGTGACTAGTGATTGTGACAGCTATTAGGCTCACAGCACCCTCTGCTGGGTATCACCTGTAAAGAGTGGGTGCATTTAGGGTGGGTGGGTGGCACTCTGCCTTTGGATGGGCTGGCAAATATCCGTACTCCACCATCTTTTTGTCCCTGAGGGTCCTTGAGGGCCACAAGGAAGCCCTCTCCCTAGCCAATAAGCATCTTCAAATTTTGTCCAGCTGTCTGTCCCTGGGCCGGGACAAACTGGAGTGTTCTCTCCTGGGACTTTTTGCATCCAGCTTCTGTTTGCACTAGTTGTTTTTTGAAGGTGGGGCCAGACAGACAAGGATTGAAAACAGATGCTTTGGGAAGAGGCTTCAAGGCAATGTGGGGCAAGAATGGGAGGGGACACTCAGAATCTGGACATTCACATCCAGAGACCTCCAGGATGGAGTCAGGGCTGGGAAAGAGCCCCCCACCAACCCTCACATGAGGCCTGGAAATCTTCCTTCCCAGAGAAAGGCCCTGACAGGATGGCATCCAGGCAACCCAGTGCCAGGCTGTCAGAAAGGGTATCCGCCCCCCGCCAGGCATACGTCCTTCTCCCCTCCCCCAAGACCCAGTGGATGCAGCAGTTCACACTCTGGATTTATTATTGTTCTCACTCCTGCCCCCTCCCCCCAGGGAAAAGCCTGCAGCCTGGCAGGAACCTGCTGTCTCCTTGTGGGTGCCAGCATCACCCCTTATCTCCACTCAGTCTCCTTGTGCCAGGGTCAGACCACTCAGGGGTTTGGTGCCAGCCAAGGCCAACCTGAGTCCTTTCATCCCACAGCAAGGGTGGCCCAGTGGGCCTGTCACCCCTGTCCTACAGTGGGTTGTACCCAGGCAAAGGGAGAGGTCAGAGCTAGCCTAGCAAGCATGCAGGGGAGAGCAAGGATTCAGTGGGGTGGCATAAAGGCAAAAATAACATGGAGCCATCCCTCCAGCCAGTTGACACAATTATCTCTGCTGCACCAGGGAAAAATAGAGTGAGGAAAAGACAGCTGCTCTGGGACCCCTGCCTGCCCCCAGGCAGTCCCTCTCCTTTACCCTGGCCTCATTGCAGATTCCAGGGGCAAGATCTGGCACTGCTCCGGACTGGCGTTTTAGGGTCTGGAAGGAGCCATGGCTTTCTCTCACCCAGTTCCCAGACTGGAGGCTGCGGCTTGGTAGGAAGCTGCTGTTGTCAGCCTCTCAACCCAGACACGAGTGAGTCCCAGACACAGACATTGGCAGGCATTGGGACGTGCGAGGGAGCCACTCCATCTCGGCTTTTCCCCAGGGTTAAGGGGAGAGAAGGGAAGGGCGGTGGGCTCCTCAGCATCCAGAGCATCCTCTAAGAAGAGCTGGGACTGGTCCAGCTCCGACCTCTCCAGCCTCACTCCACACATCCTTTCTTGGTACCAACCGCCCTTGCCCCTGCCTCTGCCATAGTTTCCATCACGAGCTTCCTTCAGGTCCCCCATGCTGCCCCTTACCTCGCCCTGGCAGCGGGGGCCAGGCACTGCCTTCTGTAGTGGGCAGCGCCCTATCTCTGGACCGAGATGCTGGCTGGCAAAGGTCAGGTCTGGATGATGCACTCCGTGGCACGCGTATGTGTGTGTGTGTGTGTGTGTGTGTGTGTGTGTGTGTGTGTTGTGCGGGAGGCACCTCGGCGGCCCCTCACTCACTCACTCACACACGCCTTCCCTCTGACGTCAGGATATGCGGGAGGGAGGGACTGGGATGGGAATTTGTACTCCCAGCTTAAAGGGACACTAGGCTCTCTCAGCTCTAGCCCAGACACCACCTCCTGAGCCAGGCCAGTGCTGGGTGAGTGGCTAAGCTGCGTCTCTGCTCAGAGTTTTAATGCTTCCTGTTTTGGAAAGTGGCTTTTATTGCTGGACCAAGGTATAATTTGCCCTGCCAGGTCAGGGTAGCTGCTGGGGAATGAAAGCAGGGGAGGAAGAACTAGAGACGGCAGACATTCCTGATTATTGGGGAACAAATGGGGTGCAGAGGGGTGATTATGTGCATGTGTTCCTACTGGGAGGTCCTGCAGGGTGGGAAGCCAGAAGAGAGAGGAGACCCTCTGGGAATAAGCCAAGATCCTAGGGACTCCCAGAGACTCTTTTTCCCCCACCCCCACCTCCCAGTCTCAGACTGAAGTCAGGAGTTGGTGCTGAGCTCTGTCCCCTCCAGAGGATCTGAGATCTCCTAGTGAATAATGTGCTCCAATCTCACCAATCAAAATAGACATGGTGGTGCATATCTGTGAGCCCAGCACTTTAGGAGGCTGAGCTGAGAACTGCCATGAGTTTGAGGCCAGCCTAGACTCTATGATAAGAATCAGTGTCCCTAACAAAAAAACAAAAACAAACAAACCAGGGCTCAGTAGTTAAGCTGCTTTTCCAGGAAACCTGTGTGGTTCCCAGCACCCATGGGCAGATGCCTGCAACTCCAGCTCCAGGGGGGGATCCAACTCACCTGCACACATATGGCATATACTCACATAGACACGCATATATACATATAAAAATAATTTTAAAAAGCTCAAGCAGACAAACAAACACTGGAATAAAGAGAAAGGGATGGAAAGGAAAGAAAAAAAGACTAGTGAGGATAACCAAGGTGCACTGAGGGTTCTTCTGTGTCAGAAAGTGTGTTTTCCCTTTTCTTATACACTCGGCAGATTGACTTATTTTTGTAGGCTATAAGGGGGGAGGGGAGTACTAGGGAAGGGGAGTCAGTAGGGGAGAAGAATTTGCCTGTGTTAGTCACCTGGTTATGGGAGCCTGGGAAGCAACACCATGCATGCCACATGCCTAGAAAGGATTTTGTTGTTGTGGGTTTTTTGTTTGGTTGGTTTTAGGCAGGGTCATACTAGGCTGGCCTGAAACTCACTTGCCTCCCAAGTGCTGGGATTAAAGGTCTGAGCCACCATTGCCTGGTTCAGTCATGTCAATACAGGAGAGACTGGGGCTGATGCTGTCCCACTGGCCCACAATGAGGAGCCTTTCTCTCTTTTTTTCTGTTGCTGGAGAGGGACTGGAGAGAGAGCTCAGTGGTTAAGAGCACTGGCTGCTCTTTCAGGGGTCCTGAGTTTAATTCCCAGCAACACCTGGTGGTTCACAACCATCTATCATGCAGGCATATATGCAAAAGAACACTCATATACATAAAATACATAAATAAACCTTAAAGAAACAACTTTTTGCTTCTTTTGAGATAAGGTCTGGCTGTGTAACCTGGATGGGCCTCAAGCTTGTGACGGCCTTGCTTTAGTCTCCTGAGTGCTAGGGTTACAGGCATATACATACATGTGTGCTACTCAGTTCTTGCCTCACTGTTTTTGAAACAGGGTCTCCAGTAGTCCAGGCTAGATTTGAACTTGCAATAGAGGATGACTGTAGACTCGGGAGCCTCCTGCTTCTATATCCCAGATGCTGGGGTTACAAGCATGTGGTACCATTCCCCCTCCTTTTCTCTTCTGGGCCCCAACTTTTCCTTCTCCTTCTCCTTCTCCTTCTCTTCCTCCTCCTATCATGGGGCTTCATTGTCTTACAGCTCAGAGGTACCAGAGGGACAGAGCAGAGCCCTGAGCTGGCATTGAGCTTATAGAAATCTTCTAAACACATTAACTTGTCCTCACAGAGGAAGGTGAGGCTACAATGGAAATCTGTAACTTTTCTTTGCCTGACATCAACTTTCCTACTTATTGGGACCTGCTTGGCGTCTGTCACATGGTAGAATGACCTGATTTTCAATCCGAAGACCCTTAGCCTAATCTGGCCCAACAAAACCACTGACCAGACCTGGGTTGGAATATTGGTGCACAGGCCAGCTGTCTTTCCAGTGGCCTTGAACTGAGTGATGGATTCAATGGAAGGGAGTGGCCATGGAGCATTTCTCTGAGCTCAGTGCCAGGAATGAAACAGGCTTTTCTGAGTCTTGAAAGGAGTTGTGGGGAGAGGCCTTCTGCTCAGCGGGGCAGAAGGATCCCTCAGTAGAGCAATAGGAAGGGATTGATATAGCAGGAAAAGTGAAGGGAGTCAGTAGGAGCTGAGACACAAGGCTGGTGGTGGGGGGGGGCATGTGTCAAAGGCCACTTCAGTGGAGGCTGGGATTCGGTCCTTTGCGGACCAGGATAAGACCAGGGACAAGGTAGGACCAAGGTCTTGATCCCTCCCTTAGCATCCAGTTTCCTTTCTGTCTTTGCCACTGGTAAACACAAGCTGGGACTGCCAGGCAGCAGGGCACAGTGAATGAAGGAGGCTGGCCCTGGTTTGAAGTAGTGTGGTAATTATCTCCCCGCAAGGAGAGGGCACAGCTGTTCATTCAGGAAGTGAGCAGCACAGACACACCCACCCACCCACCAGCTACTGAGTAACAAAGAAATCGTCTACTTGCATCTAGGAGCTCCACGGGAAGGCTATTTTTGTGAACAGCTGAGCATTTAAAAGCTGTTCTCCTCGAAAGCCTTCCTCATGGTGGAGAAGCCTAGGGAAATGTGGGCGGAGCCAAACAGCATCGCAGTCCTTTGGATCACACCTCACTCTAATTTCCTGCTATAACCAACCGATGGCACCAGCCCTGGACCAGCCCAGCCCTGGACCAGCATGACATCCACCGACTTAACCCTTAAATACATACAGACCCCTGTGGTGTCCATACACCCAATAGATAGACGATAGGAACTTGAAGAACCGTGTCCACAGAGGTATAGTGGTTCATACCTATAATCCCAGCACTCAGGAAGGTGAGGCAGAAGAACTGCCTGGAGTTTGAGTTCTAGGCCCTGCTTGGGCTGCCTCAAATGAAAACAATCAAGAAACTTGTTCAGTAACACATAGCTGATATTGGAGCTGGTATTAAAATGCAGGCTTCAGGCGGGGCGTTGGTGGCGAACGCCTTTAATCCCAACACTCGGGAGGCAGAAGGCGGGCGGTTTTCTGTGAGTTCGAGGCCAGCCTGGTCTCCAGTGAGAGTGCCAGGATAGGCTCCAAAGCTACACAGAGAAACCCTGTCTCAGAAAAAAAAAAAAGAGTATTGCATGCATTTATGTGTGGGTGCATGTGTGCTCACTGTGGCACATTCCAGGAGGTCGGAGAACAGTTTTGGGGAGTTGGTTCTCTCTTTTCAGCATGTGGGTTTTGGGATCAAACTTAGGTCCTCAGGAAGGTGGCAAACAATCCTAGCCTGACTCTTTTCTAGACTCTGGAGAATCCAGCCAATGAAGCAGGAACTCTATCTTCACAGAGCTGACAGTAGAGTAGGGAGAAGACAATAAAACAACCTAATAACCGAGTGCTGTCATGATAGAACACAATAAATATTCCAGAGAACTAGTAAGCAGGAAGTGGAGTAGGGAGTGGGGCTGGTGGTGGGTGGCTTGTGGTTTTAAATGGGAGGTCATGTAAGCCCCAACCTGGCTCCTCCCCAAGAGTGACAATGCACGATGTGGTCCAGACAGGAAGACTGAGAGTTTATTTTAAACTAATGCTGGTGATAAACCAGCCTGCCTCCACTTTAGGCTTGAACACCATCTTCATCTTAATGTAAAGACAAACTTGGAGACTGAGAGTTTATTTTAAACTAATGCTGGTGATAAACCAGCCTGCCTCTACTTTAGGCTTGAACACCATCTTCATCTTAATGTAAAGACACGCTTGACAAAAAGTTATAACCATCTTGCAGCTGTATCTTCATTTCAAAAGGTTGTTATGGCCACCTTGTTTTGCTCTGGTCCTTTATTTTATTTTTATTTATTTTTTGATTTATTTATTATGTATATAGTATTCTGGCATTCGTGCCTACACACCAGAAGAGGGCACCAAATATCATTACAGATGGTTGTGAGCCACCATGTGGTTGCTGGGAGTTGAACTCGGGACCTCTGGAAGAGCAGACAGCGCTCTTAACCTCTGAGCCATCTCTCTGGCCCTGTTCTGGTCCTTTAACCCCACCTATTTGCCTGCTAAATCCTCCATTTGGAAACTCCTTTTCTCTGGGCTATAAAAGCCCTTATTTATTCCTTGTCCTGTGAACCCCACACCTTAGAGAGAGGCAGTCCATGTACACAAATTTATAAAGCTTACTTTATTTGATTTTAGTTTTTGGTTTCTCAAGATAAGGTTTCTCTGTGTAGCCCTGGCTGTACTGGAACTTGCTTTGTAGTCCAGGCTGGTCTCAAACTCACAGAGATCTATATGCCTCTGCCTCCTGGGTGCTGGGATTAAAGGCATGTGCCATCACTTCCTGGCTGAAATTACTTTAATTTATTGCTTGTTTTAATTAAATTGGCCAAGATGGTCAAGTAGTGGTGGCCCACACTTTTAGTCCCAGCACTCAGGAGGCAGAGGCAGGTGGATCTCTGTGAGTTCAAGGCCAACCTGGTTTAAAAAAAAAAAAAAAAAAAAAAATTGGCCATGATGATTTGAGCTGGGGGTCTTGCAGACTGAGTCATTTGTATTTAGTCACAAGCAATTCTCCTGAATCATGGCCCAGAGTGGCTGAGACTACAGGCATGCTGTACCACGATTCCTGCTTTTTTATTCAAGGTGGTTGTGAGCCACCATGTGGTTGCCGGGAATTGAACTCAGGACCTCTGGAGGAACAGTCAGTGCTCTTAACCGCTGAGCCATCTCTCCGGCCTGATTCCTGCATTTTTAGATTTAACAATAAATCTCGAATATCATTCTACAGCAATATCTCATTATTCTTTTCTTTGGCTTTACATTTTTCTGTTAAAAAGATGTACTTTATGTCTTTTCTTTTCTCCAATGTTGTTTTCATCAAAGGACAGTCTGTCTTTTTAACATAAGGTCTCATGTTGCCAGGTTTGGCCCTGAACTTTTGATGCCCCTCCCTTATTCTCTCCAATGCTGGGATTGTAAGCGTGCTTCAGTTTGCTCAGCTACAGAAGCCTTTGAAACCCATTCTGTCATTAGTGCTGTTTTGCAGAGCAGGGTGTGGCACTGGGAACTTCACGGTCCTGGCCAACCCTTCCCTGCCCTTGTGCAGTGGTGTGGGAGCCCCATGCTCTGGGCCTCCCCACTAGACTCTCCTCACACCCAGACAAGTTCTTAGCTCTTTCCTCCTTCCCTCTTTTCCTCTAGGCGATCATAATTCTGTTGCCCTTTTGTTCATTCAAATGAGCCATAGTTTCAAGCCCTGGCCTTATGCCAGGCATTGATGTAGGCCCGGATGTTGTGGAGAGACACTATACCATGGTCTTCTGCTGCTGGGGGGCTTGTAGACTGAGCCATTTCTATTTAGTGAACCACCTCAGTCATCCTTGGAGCAAGGCAGAGACTTAGTAAAGAGGCAGGACCTTTATTATTTATTTATGTATTTATTATTTATTTATTTATTTTTTAACCAACATGTAAACCAAACCTTTGTGCCAACAAATCATTGAGCTGAATACCACAAAAGAGGACCTGGCTCTGAAGCCCAACAGCCTGTCTCCCTCCCCCCCCCACCGGTTTTAGCTTCCCTTTCAGCTAATAGCACAAGCCCTCAGGCTTGATTTTGCCCACTTTTGTCCCTGGGTCTAGGCTATCCATCCCTCAGTGTCTAAGACCTCCTCACTCTGACCAACTTTGCTGTCTTCCTGCTGCCAGCCTGCTCTTCTTTCTCCCAAAGCCACACAACAATCATACTTCCTAGTCCTCCTGCCCCCCTCTTCAGCCCTTTCAGCCCTGGCTGTCCACCCAGCCGGTGTGTATCTGTGCCATTTCCCTGTTTTAACCAAAGGCACGTGTGCACACACAAAATAAACAAAAGTGTAATTTTAAAATATTTTAAAAATTAGACAAGGTCAGCTAGATGGTTCAGAAATTAAAAAGTACTTGTCACTAACCCTTGAGTTCAATCCCCAAGCCTCACATGACAGAAGGAGAGAACCTATCCTGCAAATTATCCTTTGACCTCCACATCTACACCGTGGCGTGTGTGGGCCCACACACAAACGTAAATGTAATTTTAAAATTAAAGAAAAAGATAGTAAAAAAGTAGTTGAGTTGTTATGTGTGTGTGGTCCCAATTACTTTGAAGGTTGAGTTGGAAGGTGGTTTGAACCCAAAGTTGGAGACTGGAATGGGTAACATTGCAAGACCTCCTGCATCTCGGGTATTTACATTATGGTTCATAACAGTAGCATAATTACAGTTATGAAGTAGCAACACAATAATTTTATGGTTGTGGGTCCCCACAACATGAGGAACTGTATTAAAGGGTTGCAATATTAGGAAGGTTGAGAACACTGGGCTAGGAGCATCTGCACCTGCAAATCGATGAGACAAGGTTTAACATATGCTAAAAGCCCAATAAAAGCTTTCTGTTGGAGCTGAAGAAATGGCTCAGCAGTGAAGAGCACTGGCTGCTCTAGCAGAGGACTAGGGTTCACTTCCCACCACCCACATGGTAGCTCACAATTTGCTGTAACTCCAGTTCTAGGCGATTAGAGGTCATCTTCTGATACACTTACATATATGCAGGCAAAACACCTCATACACATACAAATTTAAAACAAGCCACTTATTGATATAATAAAGATCATAGCTAACTAGTTCTTACCTCCCATGTCAGTCACCTGAAATACTTTGTTTCTAGACAGTGGGAAGGGACATTAGTGTCTTACTAAGCTAAACCTCCATTCTATAGCTGCAATCCCAAAATAACTTTTTATTTTTCATTTTATTATTATTTTCATTATTGTTTGTTTTGTTTTTCAAGACAGGATTTCTCTGTAGCTTTGGAGGCTGTCCTGGAACTTGCTCTGTAGACCAGGCTGGCCTTGAACTCACAGAAATCCACCTGCCTCTGCCTCCCGAATGCTGGGATTAAAGGTGTGTGCCACCTCTGCCTGGTCCTTTTTATCTTCCTTCCCTGCCCCATTTCTTCCTTTCTTTTTTAAGGAAGGGTCTTTTGTACCCAGGCTGGCTTTGAATTCACTGTATAACTGATTTGAACTTCTGATTCTTCTGTCTTTACCTCCCAAGTTCTGGGATTACAGGTGTGTTTGCCACCATGTGTGGCTCTCCAAAGTTACTTATTTATTTTTTTGGGGGGAGGATGCTAAAACACAGGGTCTCATTTTGTAACTGAAGCTGGCCTTGAACTTGCGGTGATTCTCCTGTCTTACCTCTCTAGTGTTGGTATGAAAGCTTGAGAATATTTGTTTGCATTCAGCTGCTTACTCACCTAGTGTACTGAGTAAATCAATGTTAACACCACTTAAAATTTCTGTCATCCTGAAAGGTTCTGGTGATCTTTTCTTGTCCAGTTATCCTGGGTACTGGTCTGGAGACTGGACTTTTTGTTTTTGTTTGAGACAGGGTTTCTCCATGTGGAGCAGGCTAACCTCAGAGATCCACCTGCCTCTGACTCTCGAGTGCTGAGATTAAAGTCGTGCGCCACCACGTGCCGCTATATAGACTGATTTTTCTTTTGTTTCTTTCTTTTTTTTTTTTTTCTTTTTGGTTTTTCGAGACAGGGTTTCTCTGTGGCTTTGGAGGCTGTCCTGGCACTCGCTCTGTAGACCAGGCTGGCCTCGAACTCACAGAGATCTGCCTGCCTCTGCCTCCTGAGTGCTGGGATTAAAGGCGTGCGCCACCAATGCCAGGCTGAGACCCACGGCCGGCTGGGAAATGCTTTGAAAATACAAATATAGACCAGCCTGGTCTACAAGAGCTAGTGCCAGGATAGGTTCCAAGCCCACGAGAAAAAAAAAAAAAAAAAAAAAAAAACCAAAAAAAAAGAAAAAAAAAAAGCATTTCTCTGAGGTGCAAGGGAAAGATAACCAGGCCTGAAAGTCTTGTTGCCTAGCAACCAGACTTTAGGGGCCTGAGGGTGGCTAGGACAAGGAGGTCCCGCCTCTCTTCTCTCACTGGCTGGAGGCAGCAGGAGACCCCGCCCTCCTACTGGCCCCGCCCCTCGCGGGAGCCTCGCGTGGCTCCGTGCCCCTCCGGGGCGGGCAGAGGTTTCTTATTGGTCAGTTCTCCGGAAGCTGAAGGATTCAGATTCGCGAGCTCTGGGCTGTGACTTCGAAGCCGGTGGATGCGTGTGAATGGTGCTTGGCTGCCGCGCGCGTGGTGCGGGCGGGGTGGTCCGGGATTGAGGGAGCGGTCCTCCGTTTCCTCCGGGGCAGGAGTGTGGTAGCGCAAGCGGCGGCACCCCAGGCTGTCCCGCGCGGCCCAGCTGCGGGCGGGCCTGGCTTGTTAGAGGCTGGGAGGGGACCGAGGCGGCTTGAGGTCTCCCACCGCTCGCAGGCCACGGTGCTTGACAGGTTCTCCGGTTCCCAGGGCCCGGCGCAGGATGTTCGTCCTGGTGGAGATGGTGGACACCGTGCGCATACCTCCATGGCAGTTTGAACGGAAGCTCAACGACTCCATTGCCGAGGAACTGAACAAGAAATTGGCCAACAAGGTACTGGGCCCTCAGGGGGGGCGGCAGTGTCCAGACCCGCTCCGCTGCTAGCCTGGCTGTCGCCTGGTTCAGCTTTGGCCTTGCACTCGAGTAACTTCAGGTCAGGATATCCTCTCCTTTTCTTCCTTCTGAACCAGACTTGGATGTTAGAGGTTCCCAAAGGAGTTAATGGGCCGGGCGAGGTAGCGCACACCTGTAATCCCAGCTTCTTGGGTCGCTGAGACTTGTGATGATCCTGAGTTCCAGGCCAACGTGAGCTACATAGTAAGCCCCTGTCTCAAACAAATTAAAAAGTGTCGGGGTGTTTGTTGAACAGTGCTTAAATTCGCGTGGCATTTGCGGGACTGTTGGTTCGATTCTTCTTATGGCCAGGAAACAAAACGGAGAAAATCCAGCACAAAATGGGTTTGTAATAGGGAAACTGGAAAATGCCTGTTTTCACATTGAGTTACTGTGCAGTCTTGGCCAAGTTATCCTCTCTGGGCCTCAGTTTTCATTTGTAAAACGGGGATAATTTTTTTTTTAATCAATTGCGTTGTGTGGATGGGTAGTTTAGTAGTTTGGGAGGTTTGTCTACTTATTCTCAAAATTAAAGTTTTCTGCACACTTGCTGTGAGTCATGCCAGTGTGCCCCAGGGCCAGCTGGAGAGGTCTTTCGGCTCTCCTGTGGTGACTGCTCAGTAACCCAGCTTCATGTGTCTCTTACCACAGTTACTTTCTTGTTTTCTGTGTAGCTTTGGAGCCTATCCTGGCACTCGCTCTGGAGACCAGGATTAAAGGCGTGTGCCACCAACGCCCGGCCATAAATATTTTTTAAGATTTTGTTTTACATTTTTTTTTTTTATGTTTGTGTATTCCTGTGTGAGTCACAGTGCAGGAGAGGTCAAAGGACAGCTTGTGGGTCCCTCCACCATGTGGGTCCATCCACTGTGTGGGTCTCTGGAATTGAACTCAGTTGACCTCAGGTTTAGAGGTAGGTGGCTTTCCTAGCTGAGCCATCTCACTGGCGTCTTTTTTTTTTTTTTTTAAAGATTTTATTCTTTTATTATGTATACAACATTCTGCTTTCTTGTATATCTGCACCCCAGAAGCGGACACCAGATCTCATAACGGATGGTTGTAAGCCACCATGTGGTTGCTGGGAATTGAACTCAGGACCTCTGGAAGAGCAGCCAGTGCTCTTAACCTCTGAGCCATCTCTCCAGCCCTCACTGGCGTCTTATATTTATTTGGTTACTGTGTTTTACTTTCCATGGCTACAGAGGTCTTCTCTGACTTACTCCTTTCACTGTCTCCAACACTTAGAGTGTGGCAGGGGAGACACAGAAGTTGTGCCCTTGTGTAGTGAGGGAAAAAAAAAGAGACTTGACTGAGAGGGTCTCACAGGTGAGTGTATTATGGTGACTCGGATAAATGCAGGCATTCACACACACCTAGGAACAAAGGAGCATCACCCAGGATAAAAGAGACTGATGGCTCTTTTGAGGAAATAGTGTTTGAACTAAGACCTGGTGGCCAGGAGAAGCCAAGTAGAGGCTCTGTTTTGAGGACTGGAGCAGGCTAGGTGTAAAGAACCTTGCAGGTGGAGTAACTAGCCTATGCAAAGGTCCTGAGTAAGGAGGGGCTGTGCCATCTAACAAGGCACAGAGGAAGCTGGTGTAGCTGGAACAGTGAGGGAGGTCTAGGACTGTATATAGAAGCTAGGCCAGAGCCCTAGGGTGCTTTGTAGTCCAGGTATTGTTCTTTATAGGCCAAGAGGAGGTGGTAGTCTGAGGGTGCAGGACAGAATGGGTAAGATTGGCTGGCTTAGATAGGAGACAGGTGGTCCCTTTATGGGAGACTGAGATCAGAGGAGGAGTTATACATGCAGACCTGACACTTGTCAGGTAGAGGCTTGTCACTGACTTTGATTTTTTTGTTTGGCCTTGCAGTCACAGAGATCTGTCTGCCTCTGTCTACTCAGGTGCTAGGATTAAAGATGTGTACCACTGTGGTAGTAACAGTTTTATTGCCATGAAACACCATGACCAAGGCAACTTATAAGAAAAAGCATTTTGTGGAGGCTCACTAGCAATCTATTATCATGGCTGGGAGCATGTTGGCACACATGGTGCTGGAGCAGTAGCTGAGAGCTACATCCTGATCCACAGGCCAAGAGAGCAACACTGGCCTGGTGTAGGCTTTTAAAATCTCAAAGCCCACTCCAGTGATACTTCCTCCTGCAAGGCCACACCTCCTAATCCTTCTAATCTTTCTCAATTAGCACCCCTCCCTGATGACTAATCATTCAAATATATGGACCTGTGGAGGCCATTCTTTTGTTTGTTTGTTTTTTGAGACAGGTTTTCTAAGGATTGCTGTCAAGGCTGTCCTGTAACTCAATCTGTAGACCAGGCTGGCCTCACAGAGATCTCCCTGCCTCTGCCTCCCGAGAGCTGGGACTAAAGGCATGTGCCACCAACGTCCAACTAAGGAGGTCATTTTTTCTCAAACTACCACAGCCACCACATCCAGGGCTGCTGCTTTTTTTTAAAAGACTTATTCATTATGTATGCAGTGTTCTGTCTGCATGTATGCCTGCAGGCCAGAAGAGGGTACCAGATCTCATTACAGATGGTTGTAAGCCGTCTGGAATTGCTGGGAATTGAACTCAGATCCTCTGGAAGAACGGTGCTCTTAACCTCTGAGCCATGGGCGGGGGGGGTGGGGGGGGGGGGGGGGGGGGGGGGGGGGGGGGGGGCTTCTTTAAATTATTTATTTTATGTACATTGGTGTTTTTCCTGCATGAATGTCTTTATGAGGGTATTGGATCCCCTGGAACAGTAGTTATACACAGTTGTGAGCTGCCATGTGGGTGCTGGGAATTGAACCCTGGTCCTTTGGAAGAGCAGTCAGTGCTCTTAACCCCTGAGCCATCTCTCGGGCCCCCATCCAGGGCTTCTTTTGTTAATTTTTTTAATTACATGTATTTATTTTGCATGTGGGTGTACATACCACAGTACATATGAGTGGTCAGAGGACAACTGTGGGGAGAAGGCGATTGTCTATGTAGTCCTGCGATCCAACTTAATTTGTTAGGATTGTGGGCAAGTACCTTGACTGCTGAGCCTTTTTGCCAGTATCACCTTCCCCACTTGTTTCTGAGACAGGGTCTCATGGGACCTGAGCTGACTTCACATTCACTGTGTAACCAAGGATGGCTTTGGGCTTCTGATGCCTGTGCCTCCACCACTTAAGTGCAGGGATTACAAGCAGGCATCACCATGCCTGGCTGAGGCTAATTCACTGAATCCTGTGAGAGGCGTTCCCACAGAAAGAGGTCTGTGGTTCTACAGAAGAGCTCATTGCAGGGAGTTCTCATGTCTCTCTAGTCCCTGAGCAGCTCTTAAGAGGTGTGTGACCAGGGGGTGGTAGATGTGTAGACACTGAACCTAGTCATTTAGAATACCAAAGTGTGGGCTTGGGGTGTGTGGGGTTCTGCTCTATTGAAGGGCTTTGGCCATGCAGCCTTGTTCGACCCTTGTCTCTGTGTGTGTGAGGTGGTACGAATGTGGTGTAAGTATGTTGGGGTTCTCACACTTCCTGCCAATGATCTGGAGCACAGACTTTGGGATACTGGGAAATAGAGGTTTAAGCAGGGATTCCCACTGCTAGTCCTCACCAGTAGTGACAGGAAACTTTAGTCGTTTGTGGTCTCTGAACCTGCCACCAGGATATTTCATGTCCATCCTACTCATTTAAAAATACTTCAATTTTTTTTTTTTTTTTTCTTTTTCTTTTTTTGGTGTAGAGGGGTTGAGACAGGGTTTCTCTGTGTAGCCTTGGCTGTCTTGGAACTCACTTTGAAGACCAGGCTGGCTTCAAACTCAGAGATCCACCTGACTACTCCTCCTGAGTGCTGGGATTAAAGGCATGTGCCACCAGGCCCAGTTTGTTGTCTTGTTTTTGAACATGGGAAAGCTGAGGCTTAGAGTGACAAAGTAGAGTTCTTAGTGGTCCCATTGTGGGGTAGAGCTGCCATTGGAAGCTGGCTTGTCACTCAGGCCCTGCTCCTTCCAGAGTTCTGCATCCTGAGGTCCCCATTACAGTTATCTCCTGTAGAGTCTTAGCTCATGTCCATCTAGAAAAAGGGGTACTCAGAGCTTGCTAGTGATCATGAGGGCTTTGGAGGAGCTCGGCCCTGGGGTCACTGTATATGCACTTGTGTACACAGGTTGTATACAACGTGGGACTCTGCATCTGTCTGTTTGATATCACCAAGCTGGAAGATGCCTATGTATTCCCAGGGGATGGAGCATCACACACCAAAGGTGGGTGCCCTTTTCTTCCTAGAATGCCATATTTCTTGGGGCTCATTTTTCTGTAGCAAAAGATTAAGTTCCCATGCCTCTTGGGATGGCAGTAGACCTGGGCCTGAGTTGTAATTCTGGTAGGAATTTACTTCAGTGACTGTGGGTACTCTTGTGCTCTCTGGCTCTCAGTTTCCTTACCTGTTAGACAGCAGTGTGGATGGGGAAATTCTCAAGGTTGCTACAGTTTGGAGATTGAGATTATGGTTCAACCTGTGAGTCCCTTGGGTTCCATCTAGTGCCCCCTGATACTTGCCCAGCCCTGAGGCTACTCATAACTTCATGGGTGTGTGGTGAGAAGGCCAGTGATGCAGGGACCCTAAGTGGTGGCTGCTACTGGGTAGAGAGTGGAAGGTGAGGGAAGAGCAGGCTAGTTGGGTCCAGGGACCGGGAGGGATAAGTAGGACACAGCAATTAAAACTGCCCTCTGGGGCCAGTGAGTGGTTTAGGGGTAAAGGTGCTTGCTGTATAATTCTAGATACCTGAGTTTGATACCCAGAACTCACTGAAAGATGGAAGGAGAGAATTGACTGCACAACATTTTCCTCTGATCTCCCTGTAATCACAATACTTGGGAGGTGGAAGCAGGAGGATCAGGAGTTCTAGGCCTGTCTGGGCTATCTAACAGTGATAGTAGGTTCTATATTCCAGGACTGCCAGGAGGGTTAAGGAATTAATGTAGTAGAGCTCAAGGCAGGGCCTTTGTACTTAGGGAGCATGGGAATTGCTTGTTTCTGTTGGTTCTGTGAGTTCCTTGGGTGGAGATCTTCTGGCAGTCTTGGCCAAAGCTGGAATCTAGTTTGGTGGTTTCAAAGGTCTAAAGTTCAGTGCTCAAGTATGTCTTTAGCCGTGCGTAGATGCCATTGACCAAAAGTTGTCCCATGACTAAAACTAGGGGATAAAGAGATAGACTGCCCCTTGGTGAGGGATAGTGTAGTAAAACTGAAAGGGATGTGCATCTGGGGGTGGGCAGAACCTGGAGAGGTGGTGGGGAGGAGTCAGTGTTGGGACACTGACCGGTCTTCCTTGGAGGATATAGGGCATTTCTTAGTTCTGCTTGCATTGGCCTATCCAGAGGATGGCCGGGAGGAACTCTGCATCCTGTCTCCAGTACTGGGTAGAAATGTGCACCCTCAGCTTGCCTAGGGCTTGCCCTGTGGCAGACACAGTCCTGTCACAACCTTGTCTTTGCCCATGTTGGTCGGCCTCTCAGCCCAGTGACTGGTCGAACATTCTGGAGTGTGTGGAGACAGCCTGGGGTCTGTGCTGCCTTCCTGAGACTAATTGACATGGTGTTGAGCTCTGCAGAGAGCCCCAGGAAGCAAGCAGGCTGTCTTTGTGTGGACTAGGTGCTTTCACAAGCAAGCCCAGAGCCTGGAAACAGCTATGAGGAGCTCTGTTCTCAGAGAGGAGTGCCAAGCTGAGCTGGGCTCTGCACTTGGACAAGGGCAGGGCCTCTGTTCTCAGATTATGCTGCTGAACCGAGCCAGGCTGTGTTCTTGGACAAGAGCCCATTGTCCAAGAGGCAGGTGCTGCTAATAACTTCAGGAATACCAGAAACAAATCTGCTTTAAGGAAATGCTGCCTGTTACATTGGTGATATTTGGCACTTGGTCTCCAGTCTTGTCCCCCACACCCTGCTCACCCTGGGTCTCTTGTTTCATTGTGAAGATGTGTAAGTACTGAGCACTGGGTTAAGTACATCCCACAGATCTGTGTTTCAGTTCTGGTTTTGGCCCCTGGGATGGGGGCCTGGGTAGCTATTTTATTTGTCATACAGTGGGAAGTCCTTTGAGGGCCATGAGCACTGTAAGAGCATCCGGCCATGTCACAACCTCTGCTGCATGCAGGTTGAGGTCAGAAGTACAGTGTGTTCTCTCCTTTCAGCATTTGGGTCCTGGTGATGAAACTCTAGTGGTCAGACTTGGTGACAAGTCCTTTTATCCACTGAGCCATTTTGGAGTACCTGACCACTTCAGTGCCTCATGTGAGTGGAAAAGGGATTTGTTCTTTTCCAAGAGTTGTGTGGAGTACGTATCCTGGAATACATCTGTGCCGGCTAACTAAGAACAAGTGATTACCTTCCCACTCCACCCACTTAACCTCATGCCCCTGCCAGGGCAGGGGTGGGGGTGGCATGATGTTCTGAGGATGGAAACCCAGAGCCTCATGCCAACTTAGGTGTTCCGCCAGTATGTCACTTTTGTTTGTTTGTTTTGTTTTTTAATTTATTCAACTTTATTTTATCGGTAATGGTGTAAAGGTGCCAGGTGCCCTGGAACTGAAGTAATAGACAGTTGTGCAGTTTGAGCTGCCTTGTGGGTGCTGGGAAAGGAACCTGCATCTTCTGGAAGACCAGTCATTGCTTTTAACCACTGAGTCATCTGTCCAGCCCCTGTGCCACATCTTCTAGCCGTTGGTTGTTTTTTAAGACAGGGTTTCTCTGCATAGCCCTGACTGTCCTGGAGCTCACCCTGTATATCATGCGGGCCTTGAAGTCACAGAGATCTGCTTCCAGGGTGCTGGGATTAAAGGTGTATGCCACCATGTCCAGCTTCAGCCTTCCTTTTTGAGGCTGATTAATGTATTGTGTGTGTACACTGAGCTTTTGTTCATTCATTAGTCAGTGGAGATGGGCTGCTCACCACTTACCTTTAGATGTAGTGTTCAGGCCCTGGGCACTAGCTTACACGCTGTTTGTCCTGCCCGCTAGGCCCATGCCAAATGAAGCCTGGCAGAAGCTTTTAGCTGAACGCTAGGTCATGTGGAGGGCAGTGTTTTTCCATCCGTGGGTAAGTGGCCCATGTCTGCTCCTGGCTGTATTCTGGAAAGTTAGCAGAAGACGAAGTCATCTTCAGGATGTTTGTCATCTTACGGGGTAGTGTGCAGGAAGACAGGTAGACAGAGCTGGGCAAGGGAGGACACTGAAGGAGTCCTGGTAAAAACCTGTGCTAGGATTGAGCCTGTCTGAAGAAAGACTTTAGAGCCGTGGTTCTCAACCTGTGGTTCATGACCCCTTTGGGTGGCATATCAAATATCCCGTATAATCAGGCATTTACATTGCAATTCACGGTAGTGTGCAGGAAGACAGGTAGACAGAGCTGGGCAAGGGAGGACACTGGAGGAGTCCTGGTAAAAACCTGTGCTAGGATTGAGCCTGTCTGAAGAAAGGCTAGAGCCGTGGTTCTCAACCTGTGGGTCATGACCCCTTTGGGTGGCATATCAAATATCCCGTCTAATCAGGCATTTACATTGCAATTCATAACGCAAGTAGCAAAATTACAGTTATGATGAAGAAACAACAAAAATAATTTT